CTCATTTTGCTGTTGTTGTTGTTCTGAGAGAAGGTCTCTCTTTATATATATATATATATATATACCTGGGATTGAACTCGTGGGTGCTTAACCACTAAGCCACATTTCCAGCCCTTTTCTATATTAAATTAAATTAATTAATTAATCAATCTATTTTTTATTTTTGGTCCTGGGGGATTGAACTCAGGGGCACTCAACTACTGAGCTACAGACCCAGCCCTTTGTTGCATTTTATTTAGAGACAGAGCCTCACTGAGTTGCTTAGGCCCTCACTAAATTGCTGAGGCTGACTTTGAACTCACCATCCTCCTGCCTCAGCCTCCTGAGCAGCTGGGATTACAGGTGTGCAGCACTGCTCCTGCCCAGCATAGAAAGAGACCCCACCCTGCCTAGGAAGAGACCACTGAATGAAGCAAATGAGGCTGCAGTAGGGAGCTCAGCTGGAAGCTGCTGGAACATTACACAAAACTAGTAGGAAGGCACCAGTGTCCCTGATCTACAGTAAGTGACACAGTGAGCATGGTTGTAAGTAACTGGTCCAAAGTCACTGGACCAAGTGGGTCAGGGGCTAAAAACAGTGGTAAAGCTGAGAAAGAACCCAGGCCTCTCTCTACCAGCACATTTGTCCCCAGGCACAGAGAAGCCTCCCTCTTTATACACCTTGTCTGCAAGTAGCTGGCTGTGACCAGAGGCCAGTTGGAGCACTGAGTGGCTAAGTTTCAGGTGCCCTTTTAGAAGAAAGAGGGGGCCATAAGATGGGATGGCACCTCAGGGCTGGGATTAGGTGACACAGAATGTCCCAGCTGAAGAGACCGTTAGGAAAGGCCTACTCTACCCCCAACTTTAAAGATGAGGAAACAGGGGCCCAAAACAGTCTACCCAAGGCCCTACAATCCTCTCTCCCCCGCCCAAAAGCAAAGATGGTACTTATTACGGGATAAATTGTATCTCTCAAAAACATACCTTGAGGTTCTAACCTCTGGTACCTGTGAATGTGATCTTATTCGGAAATTAAGTCTTTGTAGATGTAATTAAATTAAAATGAAGTCATACCAGATGAGGGTGGGTACTAACCCAGTGTGACTGGAGTCCTTATGTTATTGTCAAGGTCCAGGTCCTTGGTGACCCAAAGAAAGAATTGAGCAAGACATACACAAGTAACAGGCAAAGTATAGATGACGGTGGAAGTAGCACTCAGTAAGGTAGAGCAGAGCAGAGTAGGCCAAGCAAGAGAAGCTCAGGGCCCTGATGTCTGGAAATCAGTGTCTTACAATGCTGAGCTGTGCGGCATTCTCTTCCCCACACAGACCTGATTGAAGACCTTACCCCACTTTCCCCCTGTTGGTTATCTTATGATACCTGATTGGAATATTGTCTAATTTTCCACCTCTAGTTACTTTAGAAAACCTAATTCGCATACCATCTAATTTACCCCCATTGGTCATTTTATTTTTTATTATTTTTTCTTAGTTGGTCTTTTTTTTTTTTTCATTTGTTCTAATTAGTTATACATGACGGTAGAATGCCTTTTGACACATCATACATAAATGGAGTATAACGTCTCATTCTTCTGGTTGTACATGATGTAGAGTTACACCAGTCGGGTAATCATATATGCACATAGAGTCATAATGTCTGATTCATTCTACTATCCTTCCTATCCCATTGGTCATTTTAAAACACCAAACCTGTGCTGAGAATTGTCATGGTGATAAGTCCTCAGGGGAGGGAGCTGTCATGGTAATGGGATTTACCATAAACAGGGACATGACTCTTCCTGTCTAGTCCTCCATCGGCATCCTTTATACCCTGCCTCCACATCTTGGCATCCTGAATGCCTACCTGACACTTAGAGGAAGAGGAAAATTTGGACACCAACAGACATGCAGGGAGAAGATAGACATGTGATGACCCAGAGATTGCAGAGACACATCTACAAGGCAAGGAACACCAAGAATTGACAAAGATCCTACCCAATAGGTTTCAGAGGGAGCATGGCCCTGCCTACACCTTGATTTTGGACTTCCAGCCTCCAGAACTCCTTCTGGTCTTTCTATTTCTATGCATATCTTTTCTTTTCTCATATCTTGTGTCTTTTTAACTCCTTGGATTTTAACACAATAAACATTTTTAACATCCACATAACCATAATTTAACTAATCATTTATTTATTTAGGAGGACATATTTGTAGTTTCTAGGTTGTTTTCAAACATAGATCTAAGACTTTGTTCATAAAGCTTTTATAGTATTTCCTTGGGATGGAGTCCTATATATAAAATTCCCAGGTCAAAACATGTTAACATTGCAATGTGGTTCAGGATAATGAGCCCTGTGGCAATGCCTCAAAGTGCCCCTACCTCTGCGGGCCACCTACCTGTGGTCCCACCACCCAGGCTTCCTGCCTCCTTCCCCCCTCTCTCCTGATAGCCAAACCCTGTGAGCTCCCTGCATTTTGCCTGTAGCTTTGCTTCCTTCTTGTCTGGGCGGGATTACGAACCAAATCCATCATGCCCCTGCCTGTCTCCAGCATGGCCTTCCCGCTGCTGAAAGCTGATGACTATGCTGTACTCTGGCTTTTAGCTGGGCCCTGCCCCCACCTCTGGGCTGTAAACCCTGCTAAACCTTCAGACTCCTAGTGTCCTGCTCCTGTAACTTTCAGTGGACACAGGGGCTGCTGGTCCACTTGGCAGATAAAGGGACACAGAGCATGGTGATTGGGACTGATCAGCAGGTGGTGCCCATAGCAGGGGCATTGAGGCCACCTTCCTCAGGGAGCAGGAAGAGGCGTGGATTCCACTTGCCTTAGGATCAGACTTCAAATCCCACACTTTGGGTTTGGCTGAAATGAGGTATTTGGGTATTTCAACCAAGCCCTTTTCTTTTGGTAGGCTGGGGGGCCATATGGTTCTCACTTCTCTGCACCCTGGCTTTCCTAAGCAGGTCATCTGACTCAGTGTGGTAGCAGAGGTGGGAAATCATGTAGGTAACCCCTGGAATAGAGCCCCATCTGAGGGGGACGAACCTCAAGTAAACTCCAGCCCTCCATAGGCCCCTACCAGGGACTGGTGATCCACAGTTGGACCAAAACTCTCCACCCACCTCATCCCACCACCTCAAGCTACAGTGCAGTGGGAGACAGCAGAAGTCCCCCCACAGGTTGTGCAGCGACCTCCACAGACCCTAGGGGACCAGGCTGTCATCATAGTCACAGGGGCATGAAGTGGGCATGGAATTCTGGGACTGCTCATGTTCAGTCTGACCCTTGATCTGGCATCAGCCTCCTATCCTCCTTACAGCTTTGAGCAAATAACACACCTGCCTTCTAATATCAAATACCGTGCAATACAAGGTGGACACACTATAAATGGAATAAGAAAACAATTTGAGCCTTCAGGGCAGATAGAGCGGATCTGGCCACCAGGAAAGGCAGTAAGAGGGAGAGTCCCTTCATCCCTCATCACCCTGTCCCAAAGCTGTAACTCAGGGGAAAGAGCAAAATGCTCAGTCCCAGATTCATTTATCTGCATGTTATATTATGATGTTAGCTAAAACAGTTACTGTTAACATCAGGGTTAATTTTTTTTTTTTTAATTTTGTGTTTGGTGCTGAGGATCGAATTTAGGGTCCTGCAAATGTCAGGCAAGCATTCTACCATTAAACTACAACTTCACTCCTAAAAATTCTTTAAAATATCAAAGGTGGTATTTGATATCCCCTCTTGTGGCTGCTCTTTCATTCATTTTCCACCTTGACTGCAAGCATTCTGCTTTTGTTTGCACTCTTGCTCACTGTGGGCCATATGGGGCGAGGTTGAGGAAGGACTGTTCTCATCCCAGCTATTACTAGCTCTGGGCAAACTCTTTCATTTTTCTGATCCTCATTTTCCTCATTTAAATAATATCCACCGCACATGCTGCTTGGTAGACAGGAGGGAGTCAACCAGAGGGATTTGATCCCGGCTCCAGCACTTACTACTTTCAGAGCAAGTTACTTAACCACTCTGAGCTTTGCTTCCTCCTTGGTGAAAATGGGCAATGTGTCTCTATTCACATTGTACGGACTATAGGGGAGGATTAAACAAGACAATACCCAGGACTGGCACAGTCAGTGCTAAAGAAATACAGCATTCCCCCTTCCTCCAAGATGTAATTATGGAGCACGCTCTTGTTGTTTTAATAAATTATATTTATCCTGGAGGTGGAGCTAGATGGTAGAGCATTTGTTTAGCATGTGCAAGACCTGGGTTCAATCATCAGTACCAAATAAATAAATAAAAATATATTTAAATATACTATTCATAACTTTTTTCTTTTTCAAATTGACTCATAATAGTGGTACACATGTATAGGTGTCCAATGTGACCTTTCAGTACATGTATGCAATGTATAATAATCAGGGTAATTGGCATATCCATTACCTCAAACATGGATCATTTCTTTGGGCTGGGAACACTTTGAAATCCTCCCATCTAACTATTTTGAATTGCTGTCAATCATAGTTATCCTATTGAGCTACAGAATATTAGAAGTTACTCTTTCTTTGCAACTGTACCCCTGTGCCGGTTAACTATCCTCTCTCTCTCCATCCCTTATTCATAATATTTTAATCTGTTTTGTTTTGTGTGTGGTGCTGGGGATGAGCGCCACAGCCTCGTGCTGGCTAAACTCCCGCTGTACCACTGTGCTACATTCCCAGGCCCAATAAATTTTAAGATTCCCACTTCAGACGCGTCGCCTGACCCCACACCGCACTATACAAGCGCGATCCTCGCCGTGCCTTTGCCGCGGCCCCTCTTTTCTTTGGAAAGCTTTACTCCGCCTTGGTGCCAGCGTCCAACCTCCGTGCACCCCTCTGTTCCCACCGGCAGGCAGCTCCGCGCAACAGGGCCCCAGTCACCCGATCCCACCATGGGGTTGGGGATGGGGACTCGGCGCGCGCCTGGCCCCGCTCAGGTGAGAAGCAGCGGGGCCCCGCCGTGGGCGCATCGACCCGCACTCACCCTCTTCACCAGGAAACCCTCCTTGAGCACGCCGTCCTCCATGTAGCCGCCCGCACGCCCGGGCCACCCCAGTGAGCTGTCCCGACGCTTCGCGCTTTTCCGCGCCCGCGCAGCCCGCGCCCACTGCGCCCAGGAAGCCGCTCCGACACCGGCGGGCGACGCCTCCCTGGCGCTTGTCCAGAGCCGGAGACCGCGGGGCCTCCCGGGCAGGAAGTCGGGCAGGGTTGGGATCTTTGCCACCACGTCCCACCTGAAGGTGCTCCAAGGCCGGTGATTAGACTTAGGTGCAGAGTCTGCCAACCCCGCCCCAGCTTTCTCCGACCTGGCAGGGCGCCCTTGGGGTGCCCTGCGCTTCATAACTCTGCCAGTCTCTGCCCAGTTTCCTCCGCCCCAGATTTAACCCGGTGCTAGACTGGCACTTGGGTTGATAGTTACGCAACTAAAGGGCACTGAAAGGATTTGGGAACCTTCCCTGCACTCAGTGGAAATGGAAGTGGGAGGATGGGTAGGATGGAAGTGCGATGGCAAGTGTTTCTGGGCATCTGGTGGAGGCAGAGAAGAGTCCTTATTAACCGGAAAGTCACAACTTTAAGACAGCTGGTGCAGTCTGCAGGGAGAGAGCTGGTGCCCAGGAAACATTCTGTCCCCAAGATCTACCATGCCAAAGGGAGTGGGGGGACGAGAACCAAAGAATCCAGCATTCCGGGCAAAATTTAAGGAGGAGCCAAGGAACTCAATAACGTAGATAAATAATATTTGAGTTTAACATGTTTAAAAAAAATAATGGTGCATGGTGGTGACAATCTCAGCAACTCAGGAAGCTGAGGCAGGAGGATGGCAAGTTCCAGGCCAGCCTCGGCAACTTAGACCCTGTATCAGAATAAAAAATAAGGGCTGGGGCTGAGGCTCAGTGGTAAGGCACTTGCCTGGCATGTGTGAGACCCTGGGTTCAATTCTCAGCACCACGTATAAATAAATAAAATAAAGATCTATCAACAACTAAAAAAAATTAAAATAAATAAATAAATAAAAGGACTGGAGGTGTAGCTTAGTGGCAGAGCTCCCCGTGGTTCAATCCCCATTAAAAAAAAAAAAAAAAAAAACGCGGCTGGGGTTGTTGATCCTTGTCCAGTGCTTGCCAAGCATGTGTGAGGCTCTGGGTTTCATTCTCAGCACCACATATAAAGAAATTAAGTAAAGGTCCATCAACAACTAAAAAAAATATATATATTTAAAAAAAAATCAAAATTAATGCCCAAAACATCCACAATGAACAGATTATCAAGTATCAAGACAAGATCAACAACAATGCACTACCAAGCCATACCGGCACTGAAACAACAGGAAACATGAAATAGAACACAGTGGCACACACCTGCAATCCCAGCTATTCTGGAGGCTGAGGCAGGAGGATGGCAAGTTTGAGGTCAGTCTGGGCAACTTAGTGAGACCCTGTCTCAAAAAAAAAAGAAGAAAGAAAGTAAGAAGAAAAAAAAAATAGGGACGGGGCTTGAGGATGTAGATCAATGGCAAGCGCCCTTGGGTTCAATCCCCAGAATCACCCAAAAGGAAACAGGAGTAGCAGTAGCACTGACCTGTCTTGGAGCACAGTCACCTTTACCTATTTGCACTCAGTGTGAAGGGCCCTGTCAAACTCCCCTTGCCTGATGAGGTAAGGGAAAGGCCCTCAGATGCCCAGAAGGGACGAGAAGACCATAGTGGAAGAAGGGGCCCCCCGGTTGTGGAAGGGACAGGGTGTCTTCCAAAGCCCCACCGCTGCTTCCAAGGCCACCCCAGGGGCCCCGGAGCTGGGCCTTCTGCCACACTGCTGCCCCTGTGAGTCCAAGCCAGGCCCCAGGGAAAGCTGGCAGGGCATTGTGTTGCCAAGATAATGACACACTGGCTTTTGGACGGGATTTCCACTCTGATTTCTTTAGAGGCGCTAGGTTATACTTGTTTTATTTAATACACAGTAACCCCATGTGGTGGGTTTCTCATCTCAGTTCTTCAGCCTTGAATAACTTGCCCAGAGCATCACAAATGCATTTGCTTCTCCAGGACCTGTCCCAGCTCTGAAAGCTGGCTGGGCTCAAACCCAGGACAGGAGAGACTGGGGAGTTCTAATCCTCTTTAGCTTTGTTCAGCTCCTTCTTCCTCACAGAAGCTGTCCTGGTTCTGAGGCTTAAAAGAGGTGGAATTTGCAAGAGATGTCTTTGGCAAGAAGGATTCCCAAATGAGAAATGAGAAAGGGAGAAAGCGCCCTCCTACCAGCAGCGAGTTCAGCCCTCTGCACACCTAGAACCTTCTTGCCCTCCTAGGGAAGCCCCTGGTCCAGCCCATTCTGTGATTCACTGGACGTGGGGCATGAGTCACACCCCTTCCTTCCCCAGGCTGTGGTGGCTGGGCCACCAGATTACCAGGGAACACTGCTGACATAAGCCCAGCTCGACCACAGGGAGGTGGAGGGACAGAAGGAAGCAAACAGTAGCGAATAGGGGAGCCTGCCAGGGAAGGAAGTTCCAGACCCAGGGTTTCATCTTGTTCTGCAGGCAGACACTTCTCAAGGCTGGGGCTGAGATAAAAGAGTCCCTGACCCTCACAGCCCTCCTCCCTTTTTTTGTCATTAAGGACCAGTAATGACTAGCATGTGTTGGCTGTGTGTCCAAAGCTATTAGGTCAGTGTTTGGGTGAAGGTGTTTCACAAACTGATATAACATTCCACCATTAGAGCGTCATTTCTTTAGTTTTAAGTGAGCATCCTCAATTTAAGATATATATATATATATATATATATATATATATATATATATATATATATGAAGGGTAAATCGTGAAACTTTATTTGAAATGAATACTTTGACTCCAGACACTCATCAGAATCACAGGATCACCATCCAACCCCTAACAATCATCTAATCAGATGCTTCATTTTATAAGTGAGGACCCCCCCTCAAAGCCCCAGAGAAATAAATTGATTTGTCCAAGGTCTTCATCCAGTTAGTGACAAAAGTAGTGCCAGAATACAGGTTCCCAGAGCTGTGTGCTTTAAGGCTGGTCCCTGACAAACACAGGGGCACTTCCCCTAGCAGTGACCAGCATCAGAGTCCTGCAGTAAGAGTGTGGCTAAGGAAGGCCTGGAAGGGAGCCGTCTGCAGATCCAGAAAAGACTTCAAAACAAATTTCTGTAATTCTTAATACCATAAAAATAAATTTGTGCTGAGTGTGTTGGCACATACCTAAAATTCTATCAACTTGAGAGGCTGAGGCAGGAAGATGAGAAGTTGAAGGTCAGCCTCAGAAATTTAGCAAAAACCTGTCTCAAACTAAAATAATAAAGGGCTGGGGTGTAGCTTTGTGGTAAAGTACCCCTGGCTTCAATCCCCTGTACCAATAAATAAATACTTAAATAAATTTGTGCTTATCATAGAAAATTTGGAAAAATACCAAAAAGTTGATAAAACCACAAATTCCATCACTCAGACAAATGATCAGGGTTTTGTTTGTTTCTTTGGTACTAGGGATTGAATCCAGGGGCACTTTACCATTTAGCTACATCCTCAGCCTTTTTAATTTTTTATTTTGAGACAAAATGTTGCTAAGTTGCTAAGACTGGCCTCCAACTTGGGATCTTTCTTCCTCAGCCTCCCAAGTTTCTGGGACTACAGCCACCATGCCTAGCTGACAATCAGGATTTTTATTTATTTTATTTAACATTTATTTTTATTAAATTTTATTTTTAAAAAAGGAACACTATGGGGCTGGGGTTATGGCTCAGCAGTAGAGCACTTGCATGGCACATGTGAGGCACTGGGTTCGATCCCGCAGCACCATGTAAAAATAAATAAACAAAATAAAGGTATGGTGTCCATCTACAACTAAAAAAATTTTTTTTAAAAAAAGAACAGTAATTTTGTCACTTATAGCTAATAAACATCTTAACAGATCATTAAAATAACCCAAAGCCATAATTTTAATGACTGCATAAAATTTCATTATAACTGTATCATAATATATTTAATCCTTTCATTTTGATTGAATTTCATTTTTTACTATGTAAAAAAGTACTATGATAAATATCGTGCATAAACATTTTGCCACATCTCTATTATTTCAGGTAAATGTCTAAAGTATAATTTTAGGTTCAAGGGTATAAAATTTAAAAATTCTTTAAAAAATTTTTTTGTAGTTGTAGATGGACAGAATGTCTTTATTTATTTTTATGTGGTGCTAAGGATAAAACCCAGTGCCTCACACATGCTAGGCAAGCGCTCCGCCACTGCGCTACAGCCTTAGCCCTAAAAATTTAGACTGCTTTCTAGAAATATGCCACCTGATATCCTCACCAGCTGCGTTTGATGCCAGTGTAACTGTCCACACCAGCATCAAATACAGCACTTTTTAGAAACCTTTGCAAATTTTCTCAGAATCAGCAGGGGCGGTTCTCATTTGCACAGTCTGTGTCACCTGTCAGTAGAACTGGCTCCCTTACCCACCTCCTAGGGGCAACCAGCTATAGGAGACTCCTGCAAGAGGCTCAGAACTGGGAAGCTGCTGAGAAGGAGCAGTGGAAGTCCCAGACAAGGGCACCACCCACAGGAAAAGGAGGAAGTATGGAGTCCTGCACACAGGGGCTGAGGGTGTAGTGCAGGGGCAGAGCGCATGTGTGAGATCCCGGGTTCAATCAAGGGAAGGGGTGTGGAGTGGTGAGCAGAGCAAAATCAGCCAGGAGAGGAAGGAGCTAGAAGGGCCACAGACAAACATGAAACAGAAATTTTGCCTAATCCATGGCTTTGCTCAAGGCCATCCATCAAGTTGCCCTGTTATAGCAGAAATATATACAGCCCTTCCTCAACTTGAGATGGTTCTGCTTGGACTGGTGGTGTAGCCCCACGGTAAAGCATAGGCTTAGCATGCAGAGGCTCAGGGTTCAATTCCCAGCAAACCCCACCACCATCAAAAAATAAAATGGTTCAGCTTATTTGACTTTACAATAGTGCAAAAGTGATACACATTAAATGGAAACTTTGGGTTTTGAATTTTTCTCATTTTCCAGGCTAGCAATATGAGTTCCATACTCTGTCAATGCAGTACAGCACAGTGAGCAGCAGGCAGCTCCCAGCCAGCCATACTATCATAAGGGGAAACAGAGTATGCTCTACAGTGTTGCTAAGCTATGATGTTCGGTAGCTTAGGGTGTTAAGTGCATTTTCATCTTATACTGGGCTTATTCAGACATAATTCCATTATAAGTCGAGAACATCCATAACCATTCAACCATTCATCAGTTCTTTCACCAGAGCAGAAGAATTGCATTGAGCATATCCTAAGTACAAAGCAC